AATACCAGAGTCTCTAGCTACAGCGGCTGAGGCATTGATGGTGATGACGAGGTCATGAACGGAAGTGGACGTAGGTTCTCGAACTCCTGTAGACTAGTCCAGATACCAGGATGAACGTTGGAGGAGAATCAAGGTTCACCAAGACGAAGACTTGTGGATCCAACAAATGAAGAAGGTCCTAAGAGGAGACGTGTCAGATCTCCCCCGGAATCAGGTGAAGAAGATTGCGAAGATCTCTGATCAGTTTGTATTAGATTCGCGAGAAGTCCTCTACAGGCTGAGCACACCCACTCCTGAGAGACCTCGCAACAAACAGTCGGAACTCAGGCTGGTAGTCCCAGAGACTTTATGTGCCGATATGTTACACTACTCGCACAAAGACTTTCAAGGCGGCCACCAAGGAATCAACAGGACGTTTGAACGATTACGTTCAGAGTTCTACTGGATCGGGATGTACGCTGATGTACAGAAGTTCGTGAGAGAGTGTGTGGATTGTGCGTCAGCCAAGGGGCAATCTCGGTCCTTGGCCCATCACCTGACAATATCGAACCGAGATATCCGTTCTAGGTGGTCTCTATGGATTTTGTCACTGAGCTACCTGAGTCCGATCGTGGAAATACCTACTTGTTGCTGTTCCAAGATCAATTCTCAGGATATATCATGTGCAAACCCATGCGGAATACCGAAGCCCAAGGTGTTGCTGAGGCATACGAAGAGTGCGTATTCAGAAGATTTGGGGTAAGTTCAATGATCAGGCATGATCAGGATCCCCGCTTCTTGAGTAAGGTCTTTGCCAGATTTAGAGATCTTCTGAAAAGTAAGCAACGTGCGACGCTAGGATATCGGCCTCAGGCCAATGGACAGCAAGAACGCTCAGGAACGCTCAGTCCAAACGGTAATGCGAAGTGTCAGAGCGTATGTCGCTGAAGTTGACCAGAGTGACTGGGACGAGCATGCAGAATGTCTCATGTTCGCTTTGAATTTCTCGTTCGACGCTGCAAGATTGGACACTCCGTTTTACTTAGTCCATGGCTGGGACGCCCAGGGAACCATATCCGCAATGCTGGGCCC